ACAGTCACGACAAAAGCCTCCTAATGCTGCTTGTTTCCCGGCAGGTGTATCCACTCAGGAGTTAATGTGCATTATCTCTCCTTGCCCTGTGAACAGCAGAGCTCTCCTGGATGCCCTGGCTCTGCCTGCACGTCCCTGGCCTCACAGAAGTTCAGCTGTAGCTGAGCTGCTGCTTCCAGTGTCACTGCTGTGCCAGGAAGCCCAGATCAGCCCAGGAATGTCCTTGTGCTAAACACCCTAAGACAAGCATGGCAGGAGCCAGCCAGCCTCTGGCCCAAAGCTACATCTGGAGCAGCAGAGGAGGCTCAAGCAGAGGGGAATGTGAAGGTACTTCCCGGCGAGTGGGTCCAGAGACAAAGCTCAGAACCAAATATTCTGCAGTTCAGTAACAGAATTTAATGCCAGACCATACAACTTGTGCAAGGATTTTGCCACTCTGCAAATGACCAAACTCGTTATGAGATACAGAACTACTCCCCCTGTGCTAAGGACAGGTTTCAGAGAGACAAACAAAGTCCCTGTCTCCTTCTCCTGCCCCCCAATCAGTATGGATCTCACAAGCACACTTTCCTATGGTATCTAGTTTTGTTTACCTCCTTGGCCATTCTTTACAAGTCTCTTCCCAACCTCTGGAACAACTAAACAATCATGATACCACCACAGAAATCAGACTGTGGATAAGTCCAGTGCTCTGCTATCAGCAGTTGAGTTGAGGCACTTTCTGTGACAGTTCAAAGGTGACATCATGAACTGTCACCTGTGTAAAAGAGGCTGCAAAGTCAGGACAGAGGCTGCAGTGAAATGCTTGCAGATACCAAGGGAGAGCAGTAGTACAAATCAGTGTGGGTATCGGTGTATTCAAGCAACAGCACAACCCCCCTGCAAACCTCTGTGGTGACATTTTATGGCTGTGTTGGCTCCGGGTGTTTTCCAGAACAGCACCATTCTGCTGCATAGGCAAGAATAGATATCTTAGGTTATTAGCAAATGCAATGTGGAAGATTTCAGCCTATCAAAGCTCCTTTTAGCTGTATTATGAAATTTTGAAACCTTCCTGAAGTTTACCAGATGACAAAGTGGGATTATTGTTATAAGGAAATGAATGCATAGCTGAAGGGGAAAGTGTTTTATAGCATCTGATAACACCTTAGGCACTGATAGGACATCTTTGTACAGGTTGAAAATGCATTCTTCATTTTTCACTGACAGCTGGTTAAAGGAGGAATGCAGTGAAAAGTCTATAAAAGCTTTGAAAAACCCCCAGAGCTGGATAATTCTGTACTTCTGTTTTTCTTCCACCCATGCTGGTAGGTGAAGTTGTTACCAGTATCCTTTGCACTCATTGCCACCTTGGCCTGTAACCACACCAGCAACACAGAGTCTACAGCACTTCCTGAACCATCTCTTTTTAAACAATAGGGTGGAAATATTGGAAGCAACTTTTTCCACAATTCTTTTTCACTAGCTTGCGTGAAGTCTACGTGCTGCCACTCCAGCAGTCTGGCTTTCATTCCTCCTCTTCCACTGGAAGATCATTTCTGTATGTCAGCAAAGCTGGTTTTTGAGTCTGTTCTTTTAGCTCCTCCATGTCTGATACTGCTGATCCTTGATTCCCGTTTGATACGTTTTCTTTCCTTGACTTTGCAATACTCTCCTTGTCTCTTCCTTCTCCTGCCTTTGGAAGTGCTCCTCCAACATCTCCTTTGGGAGACCGTGTTCTTTCTTTTTCTAACATTCCCTGGGGCAGCTCTTCCTCTGTTTCTATTTTCTTCTTTTTCCTTCCTCACAACCTGCTCCCTCACACTCATCTCCTCCTACGACCCCAGCTGCTCTGTCTCCATTAACAAAGCATAAACCAGCCTGACCAGCCACTGTCCATCCAATCTCATGGATTTCTCAGCTTCACTAACATGTCCTTGGATGTCTCAGTCTCAGATTAAAGGGATAATAATGCCTAAAGGTGGTGACCTGACTCTCTTCAGCCCACAACCCTCTGTCAGTGTTGCAGCCCTCACTTTCCTCCTGTAACTTCATCTCTAACAGCTTCTCCCACTCTTTAAACCTTTCCCGAAAGAACTGTACCTTTTCACTTTTTTATCGTTACACTTTTGAGAGCATCTTCTTGCTTTCCATTCACACAAACACAGGTTAGATGCAGGTCCTTCTTAGGACATCGTCTCTCTCCTGGTTTGTGAAAGCTTAGCAAAACACTAGGTTACTAAGGCCTTCCTGCAAGAGAATCTTCATTGGCCTCTCCTTTCTCCCCCTCTTTTCCCAGTGTTCCTTTCTTTCATTGAATCCCTTAATTAACTCCAGTCAAGGTTTATTACACTCAGCTCTTTCAGCAATACTAGTAATTTTTTACTGCTTTTTTTCCATATACCCTTATGAATTTCATCTCTCTCTGAGAGATGAATCTCCTGTAGAAGTTTTCTACCTTTTCTCTTGTAGAGGAAATCAGTCTTGTAGAAAAAGATCTCTGGTGATCTAACTTGCATTAGCAGATAAAATAGCTTAGATACTCTGGTCATTTCTCCTGAAAGATTACAGCAGAACGAAATATGCTTGTTGTTCCTTTTACCCAAGCACCTGTGATTTACTAACAGAATAAATGTATTCTTTCCTATGAAGGCAGCAAAACGACACTAGAAAACAGGCAGGGGAAAAAAATAATTAAAAATAGGCTACAGGGATTCCAGAGGCACATATGGTCATCCAGCAGGATGGGCCAGGTGTGCTCTCCCAGAAGTGTATGAAATGCTGATTGCAGCAAGTTGGAACATTGCAATTGCAGAGAGATTCCTGTAAACCTGTCTGGTACTGGGCTAGTTGGGCATTTGCTCTGCTGAGTTCCTGTGTTCCTGTAACAGTGGGATGACCAATAATGCTTTCTGATATCATCTACACCCTTTGTGTTCTTCCACCCTTACACAAACCCTTGCCTTTCTTTACAAGAGGGATTCACTTTGTGAACTCCCATGGACTAGGATCCCATCTTATTTATTTGTCTTGAAAACTTCCCAGCACTTTCTATGGGAATACTTAACATTCTGATTATTAATAACAAGAAAAATGATATTATGATGAGAGCAGCAGAACTGCTGCTGGCAGAATTATTTGCAATCCTAATTTTACACATCCAACGTGCTGTCCTGAACCTCTGCCCCTCCAGGTAATATCAGCTGGGGGTTTGTTTTGTTTTTCCTTTTCCAATTCTGCTGCAGGCAGTTTTCTTTGCAGCTTCCATCCATTAATCTCAAAGTACTTTTACATAGAGGAATTAATTAAGACTCTTGCACACAAGAATTAATTAAGACAGTAGTAGGCATGTTTTATCATCTCCATGTTGCACATGGGGGGGGAACTGAGGTGAAGAGAGTTGCCCAATTCTTTTGCAGAGCTGGGAGTGTAGTTGGGCATGCATCATATCTTCTCAATTTGGTGTATAAGAATATCCTTTCTCTCCTTACGTTGTGAGGCAAATATCCAGTTTACCGAGTAAAATACCACTGACACACAGTCCTGTACTTCAAAATGGAAATGCTTCCCTCAGGCGAATACCTTGGCCAGTTGACTTTCCAAACACATCCTTCTTTCTTATTTCAGACAGAAGGAAGCACACAGCACGAAAAGCAAACTACTGGAACCCCTGTGGGATCTGATAACATTTATACTCTGCTAAAGAATTGCCCCAGTACCTGAAATCTGTAATCTTATCATCCTGCTCTAACAGACTCTCCCTTTCTCAGCACTCACATATAACTTCTGTTTGATAAAGAAAGAAATATAAACCTAATGACTTGGGATTTTTATCTACAGCTCATAAAACCTTTGCAGAGCTGATTCTGGGCTACCCTGCTTCTGAAATGCACCAGTGCCACCTTCAGACCACAGTAAAAAGGGCTTCTTCACAAGTCATCTGTATGGCAGCAGCAGTGGTTTTGCTTTTCCTCCAGACAAGTTGTGCTGGAAAGCCCAGCAGCACATGTATGAACCTGAGCAGAACCTGCATAGTCCCATCCCAAAGCACAAATGTTCACTGGGAACATCGGTCCTTTATTTTCATAAATAAACATTAATAAAGGGCAATCAAGCACCACTTTTTAGTCCCTGGCATGAGAATCCTGGCCCGCTCCCCTGCCCCTGCTCAGTCTGGCAGAGCAGCACAGCAGCTGTGCCCTGCTCCTGCCCTGCACCCTCACAGTGTTTGCAGCTGCTGCTGTTGGTCCATACACTGGGTATGTGTGTGTACAGGTGTGGCTGCAGCCCAGACACCCCACAGCCATCCCATGCTGCCTGCATTGTGCATCGCACCCCCCAAAGGGCTCTGCAGGGAGAGGAACCCCCCGAGAACACGACCCCGAGCTGAGTCACAGCCCCTCCTGCCCTGCGAGGGCACGACCTGGAGACACAGATTACACTCCTGCCACAGCCCCTCCCTGCCTGGCTGGGACTGTAAATCAAATGCGCCTCTTCCATTCTGAAGTTTCTTCTAAGCCAAAGTATTTGACAGGTCCCCGTTACCCTCAACAGAAGGATTTATTTAAAACTGAAACAGCCTGTCATTAAATATTAAAACAGGTAACAATTTCAGTGAACCAGTCCTGCTTTAAAAGTTTGATTAATATCCAAAAATTGGTGCAATGCTGTTTCAAAAAGAAAGAACAGTTAATTAAATTTACAGTCTCTCTGCTGACATACTACGTATTTTATATTTGGGTTGATTATAATGGGCAAGCCTCATCATTTTAAAACTAAGCAATTTGCATTTGTAATTAGAACCAGTTCTGAAAAAACTTCTCAAATTAAAGTTTATGCCTCTGGTATTTTGATTAAAAAATTATCTGTGATATAAGTTCAACTTACATACTGGACTGGAGAATACTGTATCAATATAGGCTTGAAAATCAAGGTGGGGATTAATTACTTGAGTTAACTTCTTTGACCTTGTCCTACAGTATTGTTGAGAGAAGAAAGCAAGCAGAATATACTCTACTCACCCACTGTCATACCATCCATGTAACGCTTGATGATGTCAAAGGAATCTCTTAAATTTCCCTCTGTAATGTCAAATATGATATCTGCCTGGTTGGCCGGATACGTAGGTGTGATGGCACGAAGGAAAATAATCTCTGCAAATAAACAGTATCACAGAGTGTCCTGACGAGTATTTGAAAACACCACTGAAGAATCTGACAGAATTTGATCCAAAATGACTTGTCCTCAAAGCTGGCGGAGGACACCCCCTCCCCTCACCACTCCCAGTTTGTCCTTTAAAATGGAAAGAAAGAAGATCTGGGGGAAGGCAGGGTTTGGATGGATTTATTTTCTCCTCCTGCACCATCCAAGAAGCCCTGAAGCCAAAACACTCTTACTGTTAAGAGTCCAGAAAGAGCACTCTTAGAAACCAGTCTGACTTGCAGCGTGTACCCCAAGAGGACAACACGGAGGATCCGAAGGGTGGGCAGTGGAGGGAGCCAAAGAGATCGCTCTGATTCCCTCAGGCAAATTACTGCCATTACAATTTAGAGTCCTTTGGAGTACTGGAGGAGGGGTTTAGGTTTAAAAATAAAAGGGAGACTATTTTTAAGTCCCTTGTGAGGGAGGTAAGTATTATTACTCTCATTACTATCCCCACTCTGGAGAAGATGAAACTAAACTTTGAGGCTGTAAGAACTCATCCAAGGCCATGCACTGAACTCCAGTTTATGTCTCCTGGGCTTTGGTAGTGCTCTCAGTTTGGTGGGTCTCATCTCTTTTTATTAAACCATGAGGCTAGACTAGTGAGGGAACAGTTTGGGAAGCATCCTGGCCAAACCCTTCGCTCTGCTGCCAGTACATCTGGTGAAGTTGAAGGGGTGGGTATGGAAGCAGGAGTGGCCGTGGGGCATTCCCTGGTTCCCTGGGAAGCAGGGCCAGCCAAGGCCTGAAACAGGCCTGACACAACCTACAGGAGCTCTGCACGGCCAAGGGAGGGATTGGTGCTTAAATTGTTCCTCTACGGACAAGGACTGGGAACGTCTCCTTCCCCACTCCTGCCTGATGCAGAGGGGAAGAATCAGCTTTGGCTTTCATTAGGACAGCTTTCTGAGACAGCAAGGCTGAGACTCTGGCTGCATCAGAAACAGGGGTTTAGGACCTTTAGAAACCCCTCCAAAATAGTTTCCCTTTCCTCCATGCCCTTCTCTCTGTGCCTGTGGCACTCAGTGAGGGGCTGGCCCTGCGGAGCAGCAGGGCTGCAGAACTCATCCCCCTCTGGGGGTGTACACAGCCCCCACTGACTTTGGCACAAATGGCCAAGGAACAAAAACTGGCTCTCCATCTGGAAGGTTATATGTGAACTAAGAAAAGTGAGTGTGATCCTTGTGAAACTGCAGGGCTCAGAAACTCGCAGGTGCTGCAGGGGACAACCACTCACTTGGAGGGTTTTTGAACATCTTGTCTTGAAAAATTTCTGTTCAGTCTTTGGAATTTCCCTTCCTTTACTCTATATGTTGACAAACAACACTATGTTCACAGGTCAAAAATCATCCAATCACGTTCAATACGATGTATTTTGTGATTAATGTTTGCATGTAGGTAAGGGCTTTATTCTCAGAACAAGCCACCCGTCAATAGCAAAAAACAGCTCACAGGCAGATGAGAGGAACATGATGAATACCTTTCTCCTGTGGCAAAATCTACAAACAAGGGAAGAAAAAAGTCACGGGGCACATGGCATTGTGTGAGTAAATGTGGTACAAGGCAATTCAGAGTCAGTATTTCCTTAGCCTGGGAAGCAGTAGGAGTAAGAGCTCAGAATGACTTTCTTTCTCCCATAAAATTAAAACTCCTGGCTATAGAAGGTCTTAATTAAATGAACACTACACTGTAATTTGGAGCTGTGCAAACATCTCACTGCACCGGTAGCCAGTCTGGCTTTAGGCAAGGCTTTCCAGTGGAGGTTTTATACAACGTAGTCTATTAAATGTAAGATGGAACAAACCACTTACCTTCAGGTCTTGTAAATTCCCTGAAGGTGGGCAGGGAAATGACAGTGTGGGAAATGGTGTGGACTGGATCCAGCACACAGTTGACATCGTTTGGTCGGCAGGACTTGATGCAGCGGATGGTGTCTGTCTTCTCAAGCCTGACACTGGGACAAACCAAAGAGAGATGCATATATATCCTGAAAATTGAGTGCTTTGTGATATGCAGTCTAGGGAGCTAGAAACTGTGATTGATATAAATATTCACTCTACACCACGAAAACTCAGATAAATGCAGCTCCTCAGAACTTCAGGACCACTGAAAAAACTTGGCTTGGCTCCAAGTTGCAGCTAAAACTCCCTCCTCACACCCAGCTCTTCAAGCCAGGCATGTGAAACTGGGAGAACTGGAGTGCAGAAGATGCCATGTAAAGTGTCTTTCCAAGGACAAACAGGACCAAACAACGAGGCCCAGGCCCTCAGCTGGCCTGCTCTCACCAGTTTCAGCGGAGCTGCACTTACTTTGCACGAGCGTTTTTCACTCAGTCATATAAAGCAGAAACAATTGTTTCCACTCTAGAAATCTGGCAGGATATATGGGAAGGGCCAACTTTCTTCCATGACTTTCAGTGCAGCAAGGGCCAGAAAAGCGCCTCTCAAATCTTTTTTTCACACCCTCCCCTTTCCATCCGAACAGAGAAAACAGAGAGGAATGGAAACCAGGGGAGGAAAAAAGTTATCCACGTTATATGAAACCTCAAAGATTGAATTCTGGGTTTGGGGAAATGGTAAGGGTCATTTCATATTCCAGCTCAACCAGCTGCTCATTCAGCCTTGAAAGTCCATTAAAAGTTAAATGACTTCTTCTCACCCTTGTCCACCAGAGTGAATTTAAAGTCACTTACAGTTCAAGAACTTCACACAATGCCCACTCTGTGCTCATGAGAGATGAAAGGGCTGTGCTGGGACTTAAAATGTGACTAAGCCCCACAAATGATCTCAACTTTGACCTGCCCATTTCTTCATATTTCTAAGTGGAAAAAAGAAAAGACTGCAATGTGGGGGGGGNTAACACTCTGACCTACAACAACATATGCAATTCCCTTATTTTAAACCTCAGCTGCCAAATTAAGAAGGAACTTCCAGCTGGCTGATCCTCATGGCTGTGAAATAAGGATCAGCTAAATTACATAGTTGAGGTCCAGTGTAAAATAGTCTATTTCAAAACATGTAACAAATAAAATTGATGTAAAATAAACATCATTCATGTTTGTTTCCCTCTCTCCCCTCCTTCTTCCTGTGTATGGAGAGCTTAGTAAACATTTACACATAAACCCACTGCATTTTTCCTCAGGATCCTGCTGAGCTGGGCTCACAACAGCCAAGTCCCACTGGTTCTCCTTCCAATACCGTGTTCACAAATTCCAGAAAAGTTCTTCAAAAGTTTTTCTCTTTTTCTACAACACATAAATAATAACTAATAATAACTATAATAACAGCTTGCATAACTTATTTTGGGATCTTATTACTAATGCAATACTGTTAGGATACACAGAGCATCCTAAATTTCCATAGCTGTATTTAGATAATAGAAAAAATAATGCAAAAACCATTGTGGTGGGAGTGTCTGAGGAATTTAGCATTGGTCTGTCTTTGCTCCTTCCTGATATTTGCTATTAATGATGTGCTCTGATCTCAAAATACTTTGTAATTTTATCTTCGCACATCATCTTTGTATTTGATCTTCTGGTAGCTGAGGTTTTCCTTTTTGCTCATGTTCTGCCATGGGACCTGTGACTGACAAAAGTTTCTTCCTACGTGCTGAGAACTTTTTTTTTATCCGAACCTTTTTCCCCCTCTAACACAAACTGCAGCTTTGGAACTGCTCCTTCCTCTACACCTTTTCCATTTAAAAGAGAACAAAATTAAGAAACAGCTCAGTTGCTCTGATATAATTTTTTCTGAGTATAATTTTTTCTTTCTACTTGGGTCCTGATATCAGTCCTTTTCATATTCTCTGTTGGATTCAATCAGTAAGTTCTTTGGACCAGGTGCTGTGATTTCATTTTTGTCTGGAAAGGACCAGGCACATAAATGGCCCTACATAATTCCATATGCGTTCCTGGAAGTCCCAATGACACTGCAACATTAAAGCATCTAACACAGGAGGATGTGAGCTCCCTGTTCTTGAATTCCCTGCTGAATGCAATTAATATGGCAGCATTTTACAATACTGAGGGCCAAATTCTCACACTCCCTTCCTTTCCTGCCAAAGAAATATATATTAATGCTTGCAAAAATGAAGTTTATTTTTGAATCTTTATCCTACTTAATTATGGCCTCATAATGAACTGGTAGCCAGAGGGCATCTGCATACAAGCATCTTCTGTGGTGGTAATAAACCCCACTAGCTCAGGCAGCACGGGCTTGTGCTTTCAGTATTTCAACCTGGGACTCCATCCCCACTGGCAACTTGTGGCAGCTTTGGAAGTGTGTGTCAACAGGCTTATTAAACACTGGCATTCCTCGTGAGACTGGAGCTCCTGCCAGCCAGCTGGGATAGACTGTGCCTCAGGGAGTATGTAATGCTCTAGCACAGCGCTGTGATCATGCCCGAATCCAGGCCCTGGCTGGTGACGAGCCCCAGAGCCCACACTCATGGAGTAATTCCTTGTGCTCAGGTGGTTAAGGCTTGGGATCTTCCTTCAGAAAGTTCTCAGTTTCCCCTCTTGTACCTTGTGCTGTCAGGATTTACAGAGTGAAGAGTGAAGTGTTTTTTCTGTATGTGCAGTCACCTGCGTTATTCCCTGCTCGTGGAGGGCTGAGTGTTCTCCCCGCGTGCCCAGGGTGGTGTAAAACACTCATTTTTGGATCACACCTCTGGGACTGAGCTTTTACTGTTAATCAACACAAGGACCAGAGAGTAAAATGAATCCTCTTCCAGCTCAGAAACAAAAGAATTCCAAAGAAATTCCAGCTGTATTGCCTACCATGTTCTTGACTGCGTAGAAATAAAGGAAGAAAGTCAAAATAAAGGAAGAAAGATCTGAATGTTGGAATTCTGGCTGACCTTTCTGGGCTCCTAAGGTTTGGTTTGATGATGGTAGTGGGTAAAGTCTTCACTATTCGAAATTTATCAGCTTTGATATGGAAGTTGGAGAGACAAAAGTGTTATGAGAAAAACCTTTCTAAAATGTTGCTGTAGACAGGGGTGTTTCAGGATACAGCTGTGAGAGAGAAAAGAGCTCTGCTGTCAGCTGAATGCTGTCAGGAAATTCACTGCTGTTCTCCTGTCAGTAGTTCTTCCATTCAGTGGAAATTCCACAGAAAACAAGATGAAAGATCTCTAAAATAAATAGTGTTTAGAGGGCATTCTCTTTTGTAGCATCCTGAGAAGTTCAAACTGGGATCTGTACCTGGTGGGAATCAGCACAAGCTCAAGGGCTGTAACAAAGCACTGCCTCAGAATCTGGCTCCACACTTTCACAGTGGGCACCTCTGGGGTCCTAAGGGCCCAAGTTATGACCTTTTAACAGATGTTCATAAAATGCAGAGTATTTGCCCCTTAAGTGATGAAATTCTCTAAAGATGACTCAGTTGAGACAGCTCAAATTATGCACCTATTTCATTTGGGAAATTCAGACCTAAACATACGCAGCTGTTCGTCATCAGACGAGACAAACTCCACTACTGTGTGAAGTGAATCAATAGTTTTCAGCCCTCAGAACATCCAGGTAATTAGCTCTTAGACTCCAGTTTCTGCTTTGTACAATGATGTAGATCACACAGAAGAATCTCCCCGAACTGAGATGTTCAGTTATAGGGGAAAGTGAAGAACTGGAACGATGATGGCAAATAAAATGCAAGTGCAGCGTGCAATGGATGAACTAAACTTTATTAAAATTTGTGGCAAAAAAGCTACTCTTAGAAGAGGAAGAGTAGCCAGTGATGACAGTAATTCAGTGATCAAAGCTGTGCAGAGACAAAGATAGAAAGTTTGGCAATAAATGTGTTGACAGTTCCATGTCGGGTAAGTTGCATTTGGATTGTCAGATGAAGGTCTCTGGGCTCTGTGATTTGACGCTGCATGACCACAAGGCCACTGTGGTTGTTCACTTTTTTTGTGGTGAAAAACCCCTCCTGGTTCCCGCTGATGATGGACAGCCGAATTTTATCCCCAGGGACAGCATTGGAAGGGCCCATGCGGAAAATGTCGGTGGGTACTTGGATGTTGGTAGGAAAAGAGAGGTGATAGTAGGTTATTCTCAGGGGCAGGCTCTGGCACTCCTTATTCTCATTACAAGGCAAGCGCTCACAGCGACTGCAAGACAAGTGAGAACACAAGACAAGAGGAAGATTAGCGCACGTGTAGCGAGCGGGAGAGGAGAGGAGGGCGCTGGGGTGGGACAAGGGGCCCTGGCTGCATCCATTCTTCAGCCTGGCACCTCATTCCTACTGCAAAGGGACATTTATCACACAGGGATGGGCTTGGCTGCCCTGGGAGAGGCGCTGCCATTGTCAGAGGTGGACGCGACGATCTCAGCTGGGCGCTGACTGCAATGTTTGGGGATGATCGGGGGGCACATTTTGCTCCGAGCTTGTCTTGTGGACAAACCACAAATCAACTAAACCGTGTGCAAGAGTCTCTCCACTCCAAGCAATATTTGGTCGACAGGTTGAGGTTTTGGAACCTAAACAATGTGTTTTTTTACCAAGAAATGCTCCAGCATTAAAGCCTGGTTGGCTTCTTACTACCTCGCATAAATCTGAGCACCCATTTAATTTATTTTATTTTGGCATATGAAATTGAGCCTCTATCAGGAGAATCAGACTGTGGCTCATAAGCAAGCCCCTCTTTGTTGCCAGTGCAGGGTGACCTGAATTCCAGGAACTTCTCGTTATATGCAAAATCAGCACTTTCAAAAAGAGTAGTTAAAAGCACCCTCAGTTCTTCAATTAATGCGCTGCATGTTTTCTTTTAATACCACTTGCAAATGAAAGTACAAAGCAATTCTTTGAAGATCTAAATGCATTCTTAATTTTATTCATGTGTGTAAAGAGCATGCACAAGTCCTCACAGGATGGCCAGCTATTTAGGTGTGGATACTCCTGGAATATTTTCAGGTATAGAGAGTTCTGCATTCTTGTCTGAAATGTCATTAATAACTCCACTAGGGAGAATGGCTTGGTTTTGCTGAAATCATGAAGCAAGTCAAGACAGTTAATTCCTCAGCTGGAAATGTTTTCTTCAAGTGCCACTTCTTGGAAGCACAGACATGCTTATGAGCATTTACACACTCATAAAGATGCTCTGCCTTATTATTTTAGAAAAGTAAAATACGTTTTATAATAATGGCCAGAATTTTTTAAGAGAACAAAAAAACAAGGCTCGAAGACTCGAGAAAGGACATTCTGCTGATTCAGAAAGCTCCTTGTGAAGATAGATGTGCCTGTGGCCAGGAGCTAGAATTATTCAAAACTCACCATCTTTTATCTCGTGCCTTGCTGGTGCACACTACACACTGACTATAGGTTGAGTTAATGTGCACTAATTGTTCCATCAAATAACCACAAAGCAGAGATAGCAAATATTATTGCTGTGGAGAACCAGGGTTCATTCTGGGGTCACGCACCGCAAAGGCGAGAAGCAAAGAGCATTTCAACCCCAGTGTACTCTCCAGCCCTCATTTTAATGCTTCCCCTCAGTGGGCAGCAGGAAATCAGATGACGGGGGAATGCAACAACCTGCTGGCACAGAATCACAGAACCACCAGCACTGACATTACGGGGGGAACTGGGCTCCTCTGCTGTGGCTCAGGCGGTCTGGGGAGTTGGACCTGCACGATTCAGACTGCCTGAAAGAGCTCAGGTCTGCCAAGGCAGAAGATAATTGTTTGTTGCTAAAAGAAAAACACCTCTCTACTGATAGGGAGAATTCAACTGCTCTGAGGCAGATAGATTGCTACAGAGGCTACGAAATCCTTATCGTTCAAGGACTTGAAGCAGAAGTTAAATAAACAGCTCTCAGAAATATTCCAGGTAGGTCTGAGCCTTTCTTGGCATACAGGAGTGGATTAGGTTTACCCATTCAGGTCCTCATTTCATATGTTTTATGAAGAAAAGGCTGCAATTTTCGGAAGTCTGCAGTTTCAGAGGTTTCACAGGGTTTTGGTAAGGATGACAAAAAGTTCAAAACCAATCTCCTAAGGAACGTCAGATTTCTACTCTGGACTGTTAAAAGAAAAACCAAAATCACCAAGATGTCTTAAAACACACAAAGCAGCGTGTTCCTTCCTACACTTGTTCTTGGAAATGAGCGAGCTGCTTTGGCTGAAATTGGCCAAAACTTGAGCCTGAGTCAGACACCTGGCAGGTAAAATTTTGGCCATTGGTTACATTTTGGCAAAATTTTAAGGAGTTAAAGACAGGTCCTAGTAATGAGAAGCACCAGGCAACTTTAATAATACACAGACATGTCTAGAATATACAAATATTTCCCAATTTGGCTCAGCCTAGCACACGTTTCTGACACGCTGCCATAAACCCTTCTTTATATTTTCTACTATTTTTCTTGGCTTAAATATTACAAATGTTAGACTTCAGTGCCACATAAAGAGAATTTAATTGTTATGCAATTTGAAAACAAAAACTGTTTGGCAAGGCAGTGCAGCAAGTTAAGTCCTATTGTCAGGAGCAGTAGATCTTAACTATCCTTGGAAAAATACCAAGCCTATAGGCTGATCCACGAAAAAAAAAAAACAAAAAGCAGAATTTAGGTAAAAGAGATAAGGCCTTCAGTTAAATTGTTACCATTAAGGATCAGACTGTGCCAGGCGTTTTGCTGTCTCTGGGGAAGGTTACACAGGCTGTTTCCTCCTGGAGCTCAGTGTCTAAGCAGCATCCTGAGCTTTCAGCCTGTAGCGTGGGACAATCCTGGAATTACCCTCTCCTGATGGCCATCCCCACTGAACAGCCACCATGCAAAACCTCTGCTTTGAAGGTATGGGGTAAAGAAGCTTCTGGATCACTGAGGGCTCCTGCCTGTACACAAGGATTTTAAGGAAAAAATAAAACGAAGGAAACTTGGATTTACAGGACTGAGAACTGCTAAAGAAAATAATGGGGAACAGGGTAAAAAAAAAATCTCCTGAAGTGCCAACTTGATGAAAGTGAGTGGAGAATATGTTGTCTCTCTTATGATGTGCCAAGCTGGTGAAACTGGAATGTGCTTTGAATGAAAGGGAGAGGAAAATGGTAACTGTACTAGATGTGACATTTTGAGTAGCCAACTATTTTGATTTTGGAATCTGGCACAAGGATGAGTGAAAAAGCAATTTAATGTCATTATCATGTAGAAGGTAACAAAGACATGCCAGCTATATATCATATATATATATAACCATGCTGGGTTATGAATGCTAAAACTAAATCAGTCAAGGAGATGTACAATAGTTTGGATGTAAAAAAGGGTGCTAAAGAGCTCTCATAAAACTCCTCCCCAGTGGGCACCAGGTAACCCAGTCCACAAACCCTCATTCCTGCGTGTTGTTGTATCCTGGCTAAGTCTGAGGGCACCCACTGCCTGCTAAACCCTCTGACTTCTCCAATAAAGATAATGAACTCATATTCTCTTTCCCTTATGCAAACATGTTTTCAACAATAAGTTTAGTACCTGTCTGTAGATGCTGAGAGGAAAAAACCTAATAAATCCAAACAGATAATAACTCAAGGAATTAAAATAATTAGAACTTCACTGAGCAGCTGCAGTATTTGTGTCTGATTCATGGCCTAATTATAGCCCCAGCATATCAGCAGGATCTTGCCCTGTGAGCAGGTCTGAGTTAGGCAGAGTAAGCCATTACAGAGTCCAACAACCCAGACACAGAAAAACAATTCAGACACTCTGTGGCTTCCCCAAAAGATCCCATACAGATCAAACAGCCATGGAAGTCCAATACAGGTGAGAGAGAAGACGAAATAGAACGTATGTGCACCATGTGTATTTTATAAACTGAGCTCTGCAACTCAGGGATGTCCATAGCAGCAGAAATCTGCTAATTCTGCCTAGCGGCACATTGCATACGACTTTTTTTTTTTTTAAATTAGGATACAAATGAACCCACTATTTTACCAAATTAGATGCCCCAACCCTGGCAGTGTTCAGAGCCAGGTTGGATAAGGCCTTAAGCAACCTGGTCTAGGGGGAGGTGTCAAGGATTTTGAAGCTGGATGTAACCCTCCTAACAGAGAGAGAATATCTGCTGGTGGCTCTAGAGTACGTAACAGTGCAAAGCACTGACACGTGGTGTTTTTTAAGTGAATGTCCTTTTCTTAGACTGGAACAGGAGCACGAGAAGCAGACCAGACCTGTGTGTGCACCACACAGGGTAGGCCTGCCAACACAACACGTGTTTGCTAGGAACTGTTCTGTGTTCAGTCAGCAGTGGTGGGACAGAAAGGAGATCATGGCACCAAAAGACTGCTTGCCCTTGACAGAGAAGGTGAAGAAGGTAAGGAAGGCACTTACGTGTCTCCTGACTTGCGGTAATTCTCTGGGCACTCCAAGGACAGGCAGCGAAAGCCGCCCTGGATGTTAAAGCAGGTCTCGTTGAAAGAGCAGTTGTGGCTTTCTGCAACACACTCATCGATGTCTGCGAAGGGAAACAGGGCAGGGGGTGAGACACAGGGGGTGAGACACAGGGGGTGAGACACAGGGGGTGAGACACAGGGGGTGAGACACAGGCCCTTCCTCTCCTGGCAGGTGCCAGACAACCATAGTGCCCTGTCAGGTCCTACAGAACATGGGCTGCAATTAAACACTGGTGCAGGACTGGAAGGGGAGGGCAGCAACAACAAGAAAGAAGAAAATTAACCCAACAACCAAGAAGAGGAAAAAGAAGAGCAGCAGTGCCACTAAGTGGACAAGACCTAAACATCTGCTGACGTGTTTATAGCAGGATATTTCCTTTTAGCACCTAAACTAACTCATACCATTTCACAGTCTGAATCTTCATCTTCAGATTTTTGTCATTATTTAGTAACAGTATAAAAAGTATTCTTTATGGAATTCTTTACTTTATAATGGAAATTTCCTGTAAATTTTCTATATATAAAAGAATTGTTTCTTCAGATTTCAAGCTGCCACTTATTGCTTTACCTGTATTGTTGTAGGAAAGGCATTTTTTAAACACAGAAACTTGCTAGAACTGTTCAGAAGCCCACAGTGCAGGGAGGTGTCCCTGCAGCCCCTGAGCTCACCTTGGCAGTTGCGTGCGTTGGGTGCCAGCCTGTAGCCAGAGGAGGGACAAGTGCACTGGAAGCTCCCAGGAATGTTGATGCATCGAAAGGAACAGATGTGCCCTCCGGTGGGCAAAGCACACTCATCAATGTCTGCAAGGAGAAAACACCACTGGTTTGCTGTGTGTTCATGGCACCCAACCCAGTGCACGTGGACGGGGCTCCTGCTGAGAGCTTCAAACATAGTTTGATGACTCTAATGCTGGGCAAAGCAGATCATCAGATAGGTGTGGCTCTAGTCAGTAAAGTCTAAATAGCAAAGGTTTGCAGGAATAAATGGAGGTCTGAAGAAAATTAAAAGCAATATGAGGGTCCAAGGGACAAAGTAATGGACAAGAGCAAGCACTTTGCAGTGATGTGTGTCACAGTGATTTACAAAAGGGAAGCAGAGGAATAGTTTTATTCTTGTTCTTACAAAAAAGAAAATCAAAATTAGGTGTTCTGCCCAAGGTGTTACTGTCCAGCAAATCCTGCAGACCTAAGTCCAAATTCAGGATCCTGTCCATGAGGTCACACCCACATCCTCCTTGTATTTGAGGAGGACCTACTCACATATTAATTCAGAACAAGCCCCAGAAAGAGGATATATAAAATACTACTTAGTAATATTATATATTTATGTATGGAACATATTCATATCTTCACTTGCTGAAGACTAGAAATCCTGCTAGTTCCTGGGAAAAAATAAGTTTCTGTCAAGTTACAAAAGTATTTCAAGCTCCAATTCGTGTAAACAGCAAAACACCACAGAAGCACAGAGGTGTTTCCAGGCAAGGGCATGGGAGGGAGACCCTCACTAAACGCAGTTTCACAAGAAAATACGACAGAGAATCAAATATTAAAGTGAAACAATTGCATGGAGTTGCTCCTGTTTGTGATGGTGGCAGTAAGAAATGCTGCCCAGCCCTCACCTTCACAGGAGATGCCGTCGATGTCGCTGAGCTGGAAGCCACGGCGGCAGTAGCACTGGTAGGAGCCGTACACGTTGGCACACTCTTGGCTACAGGGGTTGCTCTCACACTCATTTAAATCTGAAACGCAAAGTTAAGACACCTGAACCCCAAATTTCTCGCTGCACTCCTAACACTGGACTAAAACAAAACTTTGGAAGGCAATTCTTTTTATGAAATCATAACAGCAGGAGGCTGCAGTAGGTTGATTTCTCACACCATTCCAGCGGCCTTGCAAGTTAAAAATCAAACAGAAAGAGCTAAAGAGCAACGAGCTGTTTCTCACCCCACAGAGCCAAAGCACTGACAGCCATACCTTCACATGATCTCCCATCAGCTGAAAGTTTGAATCCCATGGTGCAAGTGCAGTAGTAGGAGCCAGGAGTGTTCTCACACTTGTGAGCGCAGAGGCGGCCTGGGTAGCGTCTGCACTCATTGATATCTGCAACGACAAGCACAGAGAGCTCTGTGGAGCAGCTGGCTTCACTGAAACAGCAATCTGGGCAAGAACGTGGTCATAGAAGTTTGATTTTTATTTTCCAGATTTAAATTCCATACTAGAGAGGGAAGAAGTCCTTAAAATGCTCATTTAGAAACAACCCAGTGCGTAACTGGATTAGATCTATACAGAAGAGAGCTGCTTTGATCTTCCAAAGGAATGTTTTGCTGTAGGTGCATATAAAATATCACAGAAAACAATTACACACACTCTCACAATCTTAACTTTTAATGGGATGACAGATAACATGGTGACAATACTCATACAGCTTCCTTTGAAGTCTCAGCAGGTCTCTAATATGGTATTAGATTTATCCAAATAATACAGTAGTGAATTTTACATTCAGGTGACAGAGGTTACGCAGAGAGCACTAACATTCCTCACACAGGCTCAGTGTTGAAGCGCCTTGGCTGCAGGTATTTAACTCACCAATGCAGGTCCTACTGATGACATCGAAGGTGTAGCCAGCCTTGCACTCGCAGCGGTAATTGCCCGGGGCATTGATACACACGTGCCCCTCTCCACAGGGCTGGTTGGGGGATGAGCACTCATCCACATCTAAAACAGACAGAGGAGTGACTCAACATACACTTCTGAGCATGCAAGTGGAGAGAAGAGCCACGTGTCAATGCATTTCTGTGTCCCCAAGTACTTACAGAGAGTTTTGAATCAGAAAGCAAGATTTTATCAGACTCTGAGCTTCTGCAAGATCAGAGTCACCAATGCAAACTGTTCATATCAAGGCAGGTTATCTGTCAGATGTCCTTAATGTTGATGGACTTGGGATAGAAAAGATCAGGAAGTCAGGCAAACTTTGGAGGAAATCAGGTGCAAAATTGTTTTGTTATGCATACTCAGTACTCATGGATCAGATCTTCATCTAGGGTAAGATGTCAGAGGCCCACAGGTAGGGCTTTGATAAGCCACTTACAAAACCTGAAAACACATGCAAAAATACCTCTCTTTGCAAAAGCCACCTCAGTTGAAAGCCAGCCAAAGCCATAAATGTCTTCCAACATTATTCAAATGGCTTCTGTGGGGCGTGAAGTTATCTCCATCCCTCTGCACTGAGGAGATTTCGGACCACACAGTATTGTTCCAATACACTCACACAGTCACAGACAATGCCCTTTTGGGGGGTGATTATCATTCCTCCTCTCTTCAGAATATAAGGTTCCATGAGTTATATCAAGGACAGAGTGGGTGCTTGTCATTCTTCACTTGTTGGGACTGCCATGAGGGACAGAACAGGATCAAGAATTGACTGTGGGAATGAGAGGAGCTTGAGCAAATTGCAAGAAACTGGTAAAGAGAAATGACAGACGCAAGTTGTTTTCTTAAAACTGCTTTTTCTTGCAAACTGTTCCTCACCTACACATCTTGTTCCATCTTCGTTGAGATGATACCCTCGGCCACAGCTGGGTGAGATTCGCTGGCAGGTGAAAGAGCCGTCGGTGTTAATACAGATCTGCCCGGCTGGGCACGGCGTGTTGGTGCTCAGGCACTCATTGATATCTACAAGAGCACAAGATGCTTTCGTTTGTAACCCTTCAGAGGTTTACATCCCAAGTAACCCTGCAGAGACAGGATCTGCCCATGGCAGAACACAATTATTCATGCCCTTCAGCTTCCCCAATGCAATGCTGCCAGAGCAAAGACTGGGGAGGGGTGAGAAGCACAGACCCCACTGAAAAGCAGTGAAAATAGGGTATAGCACTTGTATTTGTTTCAGAATCTCCCCTGAGCATCCAAAGAGCTGACCAACAATTCAGCTCACCAGTTTAACCCGTTCTGCTTCAGTTTATGGGTTCTGATCCAGCTCTCAGCTCCTACACAAAGATCACAGTCACAAATCCAACAACAAAATCCCCTCAACGTGTAAAATTCACCTGTGAAATTGTTTTGGTAAATATTTTGAGAGAATGCCTTTTGGGGGCCATAACTGCTACAAACTGCTGTGGCTTTGCTGACATCTGTGACAGCAAGTTAACCCCGAGCTGCCGCTGCCCCGGGGCTGCCTGTGGCAGGCACGTGTCCTCAAAGGGCTCGCTGTGCACAGGCAGTGGCCCCTCTCATTTTAAAGGCTGCAATTCTGTTTTCAGCATCAGATTTCACACTACAGGGTATGATATGGTCAGGACAATGAGGGGCTGACAGTGAGCTCCACTTGGCAGCTGCTGCAGCTCAGCCAGTTCCACAAGTCCAAGACCTGCCACGCCGATGGGGGAATCCAAAGGTAAGTTGAGACTTGAAAATACTACTCCAGGGAATAACTGGTAGATTTTCAGGTCACGTTAGACAATACCATTCAGAGTCTACTGGAAACCAGCAGTTCTTAAGTATTTATATAAAGGTTATAATACTGTTTTAGAGAGTCTTGGAAACAAGGCATTAACCTGGCAGACTGTCATCAGTCTTTAAATTAAACTCTCCACGGTGTGTTATAACTGGCCCATCATTCTCATACACAGTAAGGTTCTTGATAGGCTGTAACAGGGGACAGGTCTGGAAAGACCTACGTACCCACAAAACCACGCAGAGAAAGGGTGTAACAGAGGATGTCATAATGACAGCTTTTTATACTGTATATACCCCAGCTAAAACCTTTTGGATAGAGGTAGATAAAATACATCATAAATTCTGTTTCAGATAAAATTCCCAAAGACTCGAGGCAAGTGTTCAAGTGCAGCTGCCTTAGATAACCCAATCTCATTAAAAACGGCAATCTGCTATTTAAGTCTTTTATTTCATCTGCAAATCTTCCCCGTGAGACCAAGCCTGCCTTGAAAGGAGCAGAAAAACCCCAGAGCAGAGCAATGCACAGATGAAGAATGGCTTGAGAAGCTCGGAAATCATGCAGTGAAAGTACAGCTTATCTCCCAGGCAGCACCTGGGTGCTCCCTGAGCCCAGAAACAGCCTTACCGATACAGTTGCCGAGCGCATCTTGTATAAAGCCACTCATGCACTGTAGCTTGGGGCGGCAACGGAAGGATCCTGGAGTATTCTGACAGATAAAATCGGGGGGGCAGTTATGAGTACCAGTCTCACACTCGTCAATATCTGGTACGTCACAAAAAAAAACTGTTAGCAGGGGTGTGGCAAGGGATTTCCATCACAGTTCAAACAACACACAGTTCAAAACGCCCGACAGACTAATGCTCAGCATCCCTGCCTGCAATGCACTGCAGTGAGCAGGAGCAATCTGGCCTGCTGCCTCAACCAGGATCTCAGGGGGGATAACTTAAGGAGGCTTTATTATTTTCCTATTATTTTTATATATAAGGGTGTGTCGGTGCATATTATGCTTTACAAGGCCAGTTCTCACAGCTAAATGATCCAAACTCTTGCAGAGCACCTGAAGCATCACGTTCAGCCTGGATCCAGCACTGTGCTTAGCTTTGAAGTCGGTAAGATTTAATTATCAAAGCGCAATTTTAATTCTAATCTTAGATCCAATGCAGACATTGTTCATTTCTTTCGTAAGTGAATTAATTTGCCTTCATTCTCAACCATATTAAGGTTTGCAGTATCCTTGCATCATTGTGCTTTAATATGCACATAAACATGATTTCTGCTAACTTTAATATTCCATTCCAGTTCAGAATAGACAATGAATATCTGTAAATCAATTACGGTTCAGATGAAGCAGATAAGGCAGACAAGGGCTAATGAGGCTTCATTCACAAATGCAGCCCTGTCCACATAAAAGCAACTAAAATTTCATATTTGCCACCAGGCAATGGAACGAGATCTCCTAAAGCTATTAAAATAAAGAAGCTCTCTGGCCACTGGATGCCTCGGCTTTCCCAGGCATGCAGGTGACACAAAAATAGATGAAATTGCTTAGCCTTGAGCTTTGTAAGACTTGGTTAATGACTGTGGAGCCCATTTTAAGTGTAGGAAGGGTTAACACTGAACTGGGTTCAACAGGGTTCTGCATGCAGGAGGTCTCAGTCATGTTGCTTGGCATTTAAACACCATACGTGAAGATTATTCACTTTATATTTTTACCCTTATTAACATACCATTGATAATTAACATTATTAACATTATCTTATGCAGATAAGAACTTTCCAAGATTAATGGCATGCGGGATTTAGTATCTGTACTCCTTTTTTTCTATCAGAAAAGACTGTCAGTACCTGCCAGTAAGCTATTTGTTGGCCTAAATCTGATGTCACTCAAATCAGCAGCAATGTTACTTCAAAGGGATCCCAGTCAGACCACAATACTTTGCAAAACATTGCCTGATGCTCTGCAGGTTTTGCGGTTGGAGTTTGTTCATCAGCGTTTTTATTCAGTCTGTTTTTCATGACTGATCAGTTCCTACAGTAAAACCTTACTCAGGATTTTGGTTGAGTTATTTTACTCAGCGGAATGAAATTAGTTTATTTACAAACCGTTCTAAGCTCAGGGGGGACAGACTTTCTCATAGTAAAAACCAGTTCCACATCAAATGCAGTTTGCTGCTGATTTCTCTCTGTAAAGGTGGCATGTCAGGTGAACTTATGGATGCACAGAACAGCATCCTTTGAGCCAGACACACCTGGAAATCAGCCACTGTTCTAGTAAAAAAGACTGTTACTCTTGTGGTCAAACATGGCTAGTCAAGACCAGCGCTTTCAGCCCCTTTTTGTTTGGAGGATTCCAGTCTCCCTGCACGGGACATACCTTTGCAACGACTGTCATCTGTCAGTTCGTAGCCGGTCCCACAGCTGGTGTCCCGCTGGCAGCGGAAGGATCCCAACGTATTGACACAGGTTTGGCCAAGCCCACAGCTGTGTGTCCCAGTGATGCACTCATTAATGTCTAGAGTAGGCAAAGGGATTCAAAACAACCAAAGAGAGTAAATAAGAAGCATAAGAAGGGATGAGGTCAAAGGTAACATCATCTGCTCGAGTCTAGTGCAGATGATGTCTCCAGCCATGTCTGAGGGTGTTACAGACGGGCTGTGCATCCATAGTCTGCTGGTGGAGGTGCCAGTGTTTGGACTCAATGATCTTAAGGGTGTTTTCCAAACTGAATGACTCTGTGGTTTGGTTGTAGTGCCCATAGGAACGAGGCAAACTGTCAGAAATCCTTCCCTTGCTCTGCCTCCAGCCTATGGCTGAGGCACTCCCCGAGCTACAAGTTCCAACTTTCTACTTTCCAGCTACTGATGGACAGTTCTTTTGTGCATTTTTTATCTTTGAATGCATAAAGGTGACATCCATGTGGAGCAAATATAGAAGTTCTTTCTTTTTATATTTAGTGCTATTTCAATGTTGATCTGACCAATCATCAATATCTGTTTTATATTCCGAAGTTTGTATATGAGCTACTTAGACTCCACTTCCAGTCAGTGACAGAAAAAAGCTCTCCTGATGAATAACACTTTCCCTCCTAGAACAGCTGTGCAGGACTCATCAATTACTATCTTCTTCTACAACAGAGAACAGGTATTTTATTTTCCTTTTATCCACAACAATAAATTCAAGATCTGCCTCTTCCCCACTCTAAATCCTCCGCATTTTCTACTGATTCTTTCTTAACTTCAACTTCCCACAGTTCTCACTTCAACACTCCAAACCACCTTTTTTATGATCTCACCTCTTTCCCCAGCTGGCATATTCTGATCTCTTCTATCTGGGTATGTTTTGGTCTATTCTTGCCCTTTTAAAAAAGGAATGTTGATACCCAAGGCACTGATTTTATGTGTTACCTTCACAGGTGATACCGTCTGGTTGAAGCTGATAACCAACGAAGCAGGAGCACACGTAACTGGATCCTGTGTCTCTGCACTGCTGAGAGCAGGGCCCACCACCTAAGGGGTATTTGAAACAATCTTATGTAATGAGCAGGCTCTTCACAACAACTGGAACAAACCATTCATTTGCAGGAGAGTTGACAATTTGTTTAGAGAAGCAGTTAACTGAACACATATATACAAAAGAAGGAAAGGACTAAGCACTGAAAGCTTTAACAAATAATACAAGAAGGGTCATTCTTGCAGGCAGAAAGAGAACATAGGGAATTTACAAAAATTTGGCTCATCATTAAAAAAATCTTCCCTTTTCTGATCTTGTTTAAAGATAAATTATTATTAAAAGTGCTTAATATTCTCAAAATAGAGAAAAGGTTATATACTTCCAGCTGGTAGGAGTAAAATATTCACAGTATAGAATTAAAAAAAAAAAACAAAACAAAACAAAACAGAAGCGTTTTTCAGAATGGCTGGACAGGCATCAAACAAGAGGTTTGAGATGGGCACAATCCAAGTGAGCAAATGCAACTATACTACTATATAAATACTTTATAAAATAATTTCTGTAACTGTAGCTATTTCTAATGAGGACAGGGCCATTAATCCACCACAGCAAATAGGCTGTAGGCAGAACTCCTGATTTGCAATTAGCCATAGCAATCCATCTCTTGCAGGCAGCTGATTAACTGACAAATACAGCAACTGCTTACACAAAGAAATAATGCTAGGAAAATATGTAACACATTTTTCCATGTCATCTCCTGTAATTAGCAGCTGGAGACAAGCAGGAGAGGCAGTGTTGGCTCTGCTTTGCTAATGGAGACATTTCCACTCTCTCCAGAGTATAACAGCTGTAGAACACGGAGCACAGTAAATCATCTCTCAACTGGAATACCGGTCTATTAAATTGATTTTATCCTAAATACATTACTGAGTTCTGAAATGCTGGCAGAAAATAGTGAATCACTGCTGCTTTAAGTTTATAGACATGTAAATCACATGTGACAAGCAATAAATCAGAATGCTTAGCAGAACAATATCCCAATCACACATTCTTCCCAGGAGGCAGAAGAGCAGGATTAATGAGGACAGTAGCCACTTTTCTTGCTTTCCTTTAGGTGATGCATCTCAAAAGGAAACAAGTTTCATTTCATATTCAAACACCCTGATCATCCCAGGAGAAGAATAAAAAATGCTCATATTTAATACAGGATCCCATGTCCTGAAGAACCCAGAGGACTCCACAGGTTCAAGGGTGACTGACACCTCTGAGGTATTACCCACTAGAAGTTCAATAAAAGTTCAATGTATAGTCTCAGCTTCAGTGCTGTAAGATGAACTCCACTGTGGGAGACAATGCCTTCCTTGTATTTAGGAACTATTCAGGCATCACAGAATGGCCCACAATTTCTTGGAAAGGCTCTTCCTTCTGTTATTTTTACCCCTAACTAGCTTAGGCAAAAGGTTTTGGTTAATCTCTAGATCTAAGCTGGCTTCACTTTTATTGAAGGCAGTCACAAGGGAGCTGGCTAACAGGACTAGTCACCTGACTTACCTCTGCAGCCATCATGCAGATAAGGATCTTCCTGGTCTAGTTCCTCCTTTGAAATCTCAACTAAAAAGAGAGGAGATAGGCATTAGAGGAGAAAGCACTTTTATTCTCAAGGTAAAATGTTGTGTTCTTGGGACTCAGACCAGGGTTTTGGATAAACCAGGACAGAATTAAAGAGCATTATTTACGTATTTTACAGGTATTTCATACTCAAATTTGGCATTCAAATGCACATGGCCATGGGGCATTTTCCATCTGACTGATTCCATGTGAAAGTCATGCTGTGATCGTAGATTACAGATGGACTGAGATCCTCAAATGCAGGTTCTTAACATTAGGCTTTGAACCAGAGCTTAACCTCATTTTCATAAGACATGTTGTTGAGGCATGCTTGGCTTCCACTGACTTTATAGTAGCTTGGGGTACTCACAGATTTAATGAAAATCAGATTAACCTCAGTTATTTATTTAGACTTCATTCCAAAAAGAACTCCACACCCAACTTCTGGGCACCCACTTATGGCATTCTTTCAAATACACTTATATTCTTAACCTGGAGAGGTTTGATCAGTAGTACTTGTGCCACGTGCAGAGTTTGTTCTGTCCACATGGAGGACATCAAAGGGCTGAACACATCCACTGCCTGAACCCACAGCTTGCCCAAAGGAATGCTCATGGACTTCCTCCAATGGGCACAACAAACTCAAGATGCTTGTCCAAAAAGCTGCCCTGGAAAATGAAGCCTTCGTGACTAACAACGTGTCTGTTCGAGCTGCTTGTTCTGCCTTCCTGCAGGCAATTTTTATTGCCAACAGGGTTATTTGACATCTTGTTTCTTAGTTGCATGATGAGGACATTGTCCTGCCCTGCTTGTGGGCACAGCAGTGCCACAATAACCACACTACCAATGGCTGCTGCATGTGCCACGTGCCCACAAGGGTGAGCAGGGAGATACTCACAGCCATGCTCCTAATTCTGCATTTTCAGGTGTTGACATACTTCTCACATCATCGAGACACACTGAATATGGAAATTTTTGTCATTAGCAGAGTGGTTTGAGAACAAGGGATCTACCAGCACTCAAGCATTTCTGAGTGGGTGAGATGCTATTAAAAACTGATAGCTCGTTCTCAGCTTCCAAGACAAGATCATTAGTTGCCAAAATAAGCTATCTTACATTTAAGTTCTGACACCAGGAACTAAGTAACCACTTTGCAGCTCTTTTAGCCTTTTACTTCCAACAACAGCATTTCAGCTTTCACTAGCAAAAAAAAAAAAAATGAGCTCCAAAATATGAATCATTAAATTAGTCAGATGAGATGTCAAGTTAGAGGAATTCCAACAGAAATGATTTAAATACTCCTTGCACTCCTTTTGTGCCTCCCTCTTATAAAGTCTGCAATAAAATACCTTGCTGTTTTTTAGGAGCATCATCGCTGATGGACAGATCAATGCCTTCTGGGCCTTTCCCACAGCAAGATCTGAAGACAATTCCACACTGGTGTCCCATCTTCGGGTTGGGGTCACAACTCTGTCCTTGAACTTGGGCGGCCTTTCCCAGCAAACAACAGTAACAACACGTCTGTTAAAAGAAAATAAAACATATTAACCAAGTCAAATCATAGCCCTGACCAAGGTTAGTGTTACCAGGTCATACAGAGAAGCTATTTCGCTCTGAAAAGCACAGTCAAACATTGATTGGGAGCATCCCAGTCCTGCCATGGCTTCCAGCAATAACACATGGTCCTCCTCTTCCAGAGCTACTGAACTACAGCCCTGGAATACACCACGGGAGTGAGCACAGGACAAGTTAATCCCATGGAGGTTTCCTCTGATTTCAAGTTGAGGAGATACTGCTAATCTGTTCTGGTTTTTTCCTTGCTGTTAGAAAGCAGCAAAAGCTCTCTGCAACTGGTGTCTGCCAATTGCTACTGTCACGTGAAAGCAGAATTAAGCTTTTATTATTAATTTTGTTCTCCCAGACTCTATTTTGCTTGAAGAAAATAACCTGCACCATTAAACAGAGCAGATGTTTGTTTGGTGGGATGGCTCCTCACCACCCACTTCTGTTACTTGGTTCTCCAACTACTTCCATCCAGTGGCAGACGCTCCAGTTTTATCACTATTATGTCTGGGATTATTCCATCTTTTCTGGCTTTTCTGGATGCCTTTAGAAATAAATACTTGATGATCTCTTCCAAGAGTTGCAACATTGCTCAATATTTATTCTAACACGTCAAGCAATTCCCTGAGGCGTCCTTCTCAAGGTTTGTAACATCTGACTATAATTTCGTTAGATTTTCAATTTTCACCAGCATAAATTAAAAGACAAAAATGAAAAGTGAGTTGAAGATTCATTATTTGACTTACGCTTGCATATTTTTAATAACCAAATCTTATTTAAGCTGTTGAATACAGCTGATGCCTTGCCAAATTTTGGTATTGCATATTTCTAGATATCCTCACTGGCTTCTGCTGTCAGGCATATGAATTGACTCAGTCTGCTTCTTAGTCTTGTCACAGGAGGTTCAAACTGGGAGTTACAGACTTTCTCCAGATATTTTTAAGGAGTGATCATTAATCTTGCCATTCTTGAAGTGCTGAATAGCCTTTATTTTTTTCAGGTTGAGCCACCACTTGAAAGACCTCAATGTCCACCTGATGTGAAATGTGGAATACAGAGCTTGCTGAGTCTTGCAACATCTGCAAGAAACTGTGTCTTCAGTTAACTGACTATGTGCCCTGTCCCGTTTGTTCAGCCTATATTTGTTCTAACTGCGCACGAGGCGTCTTGGTTTAGCAGCTTGATAACGACAATAATTGACGTCGCTATCCCACAGCCAAAATTATCTGGACATGGAAAGCGTCAAATGTTATCTTCACTGATGTTTTTCTTAACTGGGTTTTCCTATTGACCCCAGACTCTGTTTCAGTTCAGTTCTGGAGGTGTTTGCAGCCGATTCCCAAAGCCTGCCAGCTGCCTGGAAGCCAGTTGTGATGAGCATCACCCATCTGCTAGAACTACCACTGCCTTCATGGATGGGACAACCTCAAGATGGAGTTGTTACCACACCCTTCCACTGCCTGCAAGCCTCTGCTTCATATGTGACCCCAATAATAATACCCCCATTATTAGCAAAATCCTGTGCAGCTTCAAAGCCATGCCTTGCTCCTCACTTTTGGATAGACAGCTGTGTCCTACCTGAAATCCCGTTATCCCTTGCCTGCCATCTCACAGGAAGGATTATAGATGAAAGGAGCAAAGTCACATGCGAGAAATCTGAAGATTTATTTTTGGTGTGATTAGGAAGTGCCTGAAATTGCTTTGATTAATAAGATCTCTTGATTAGTTAAAGTTTTTATTGAACTTAGGTTCTTGATTATTTAAAGTTCTTACTAGTTAAACAGTTCTTATTATTTATGTTCCCACATAAGTCAGCAGCTCTGAAGGGTGAATCCTGTGCTAAGTCTGCCTTTGGGATCTGTCCACAAGAGGTCTCTCCCTTGCTGAAATCCAGACAATATAACTGGGAGATGCTACAAGAAACAGACTGGAAAACCACAAATAACTCAGCAGAATTTTTCAGGGCTTTTGAAGAGCTGAACAAAAACTAAAAATATGTTCAACAGTCCAAAGCGATAAAATTTTTGTGCTCACCTAATTTACACAACTGAAGTGTCCCTGACAAAACTTGCAAGATAAGGATGTATCCCAGTCTTTGAAAAGTATTTAAGACAAATTTTAAAGGTGGTCAAATTTCTAGAAGCTTCACTCCTTTCTGCAGGGCTGTTGTGGTGGGAACTTGCATAAAATCAGTTCTACATCTCCTATACCAGCAACAAATCTGGAAATCGATCCTTGTCATTTGATGAAGATTTTAAAGATTAGTGATTCATTTTGCATTCCTTTTTTTTTTTCCCAAGGCTGGAAAAGCTCTGCTTCCAAACAAGCAGAGAGAAAATCCTGCCCAGCATTACCTCTGCCTGCCACCTTTACTGTAAAAGCTGAGGCAAGTGTTTTCAAAATATGGTCTTTTTATCTTCTTTCCAATCTCAAGTTTTGGACTCAAAGGAAAGATTAGCTGCCTCATTTGCTGCAAAGTGCTGTGATTAATCCTACTAATTGAATCACTAAATCATTCTTTCTGCTTCCTTGAAGGAGACAAAGAAGATCCAAAAGATTTTCTATGCGGCCTAAGCTAAATGAAAATGGACCAAATCAAGCAAAACGAGATTCAAGCCCATGAGAGACAGGCTTGGTGTGAATGTAAAAAGCTTGTTTACCACAGCAGGGCCCAAGAGCCAGACATTGTGTGTCTCAAGGTCGTCACATTCAAAATGTATTTAACAGAAGAAATGATGAATTGTTCACTGATATTAGATCGTAATTCATCTATGTCCATCATGGATCAAAGGGTTACCTTTAAAGTTACTCTTACAGCCACCTCAGGGAAGCTGTTAAATGTAGGATATTCCTGTTAGGGAGTGGGAGGGCAGAAGGTGGCTCACAAAGGTTCATTAACTCTGGCCATGTTTATACCAGTAAATTAAAACAGGCACAGAATGTGAGCTCGGGGCATTACCCCGCAGTCATCTGTGGTGTTTAAATATCAGCAAGCTGTAATGGCAATGACCATCCCCTCAGACAATGCTGAGGCGTATTTTGGGGTCAGCCCAGTGCAACCAGGGCTCCCACCAGCCCTCCCGCACCGTGTGATGCAGGGAAGGACATCAGCCACGTGACAGCTGTGCCGAGCCACTGCCTACCATCTTTTTGCCTGCCATTTATTGAAGGGTTTTATTTTAGCTGAATGAACCATTCAGCATCTCTGAGCAGTAGGAAGAACTAAAACCAGTCTCATCTATTTTCAACACCACTGAAAGAAACCCACAGTAGGACCAGAGATGTTCAGGACTGGGTCATGGGCAAAGTCCTGGCCCTACTTGTGGAACTTTCTTCCAAGCACACTCTGCAGAGAGGTGTAACTATGCTCCCTTTCAAGCAACGAGAGACAAAGACAGTAATAAAGGCAGAGGGCAGGGCACAGATCAACTGAAGATGCCAAGGACAGGCATTTTTATTCTGATGTCACATGCTGGTATCACAGGCTGGTGGATGTCTCCATCCAGCTGTAAATCAAAGTCATGTTCACTTAGGGCACTTACACAAGCTGGAATTATAAGTACCCTGAAAGGATTAAGTGCAGTCCTACCCCTCTGGACCACCAGTATTGAAAACCACTGAGTGTGACCTTGGGCTGTGAAGCTCTAATGAAAGCTGATGTCTGAAAAGCAGCTGAGCTTCTCACCCACCCCTCCCTGCAGCACTGATGTCTTCTTTTCATGCACAAGTGGTTTCCTGGCCAATTACCCATTTGAGACTTTCCACCCCTTTGCACTCTACCCTGTGCCTCTGCTAAAATGCCATGTGACAGCCTGCTTCCCAGAGACAGGGAGCTGCTTCCCAGAGACAGACAGGCACAGAGTGAACAGCCTTAGCAGAGACACGAGGTGCAGGTGGGGAAAAACTGTTTGTGTGCAGCAAAGTCCGCTGACCTTCAGGGCCAACCCTTCACACAGTCAACACCACTTCTGGAGGATGAACAGGAGTGGCTCTGATGTCTCACCTTGAAGTACTGGGCCTCGCAGGTGGAATTTTCAGCTGTATGTGAGTCGCACTCCTCGCGCACGTTGGCGAATTCCACCCCGTCGGAACAGGCCTGCTTCTCCAGCTGGCTGCGGCAGCACTGCTCCTGGCTCATGCTGGGACACGGTGGGAGCAAGGGGAGAGAAATGGCACACAGGGGTCAGCAACAGGCACTGCAACCTGACAATCAGCACCTGAACCAGTTACAGCTCCTGTGGGAATGCAGTCACATCATGAAGATATTCTCTGGCACCAACAGGTAAAGCGTGTGGAACGAAGACCAGAGCATTGCTCTGGGGAACAACTGGAGACAACGGGGAGAAATGAAGATACCAAGGGAAGTCCCAGGGAGAAACTGCTCATGAAGTCACTCCATTTTAGCTCAGTGTCAGTGAATAAATTGGAAACTCCTTCTTGTAGGAGAAAAAATCTGCACGAGGAGGCTTTAAACTCCTCCAGTCCTGTTGCTACTGCCCCCTGAATGCATAGCCCAGTGAAGATCTCTCTCCACTCTGTTTTTATGGGTAACTCTGCTTTGTTAGGTAGCTTTGTGGGTGAGGCATTTCCACTGCCACCTTCTGTTACAGACACCGGGAAACAGAGAAAAAAAAATAAAGAGTAACAAATCAGATTACACATACAAGGATACAAACATATCCATGTGTTTTGTGGTAACCTGAATTCTCTAAAAATAAATGTTACCTGAGTTGGTAGGGGGAAACTATCCCAAATCCAATTCAAGCTTATGGATTCTATTTATAGTACAGCAGGGGCACCTGAAAAGCATGACCTGGTATGTTAGAGCTCTGTAAAAGAAAACCCCTACAAATGCACTATTATACCCATCCTATACAACTTACAGACCAACAACACTGAACACATTATTTTTGCTGGTAAGAGCATCCACTCTTTCCACCCCACCTCAACTCTAATTATTTGAACTCAGATTATGCATCTCTGCACAGGGGTGAGGTTGTCAAGCTACACTTCCCAAGATTCCTAACTACTATTTATCGGATTGCACACGAGTCCCTTCCAACCCAAGCCATTCTGTGATTCCACAATTCCATCATTAGTAATGGTCTGACAGTGCAGTTCTCACTTGGACAAAAACAGCTCTGAGATTTCAATGCATAGGAACAAAACCCAGGATCAATTCATGAACAAATCATTCAAAAACAGACTCTAAAGTCACAGCAAGAAGTCAGGCCCAGGACAGTAACTTTATTTGGCAGGATATTTGAAGGTTTTGATATTTGATTTGGTTCCAGTTTGGAAGAATATGTAGCTTTTTTGTTGCTGAAATTCCCTCTGAAGCAGAATTTCCATTCCCTGCCCAGCTCCGGGGTGGTCTGACTGTCAGGGCTTTGGAAGCCTCTAAAACCTGAACTGCAGGCCCAAGAGTGTGGGAGCTGAGACTTTCCAACTCCCTTAGCCCTGCAGGTTCTGCTCAGGAGATATGTTAGCCCCAGACAAGCAAACAAACAAACAACAGCCTTTCAGGAGATCTGTTTGATTCCCAGGGTGCCTCTCTGTTTTCAAACACAAGCCATCTCTTTGAAATCCCTGACAAATTGGCAATTTCAACCAAAACAAGAAAGTTTCTTACAATGTTTCCCACAGCTGTATTCCTAAGTCATGTGGCCCACCCCAACTGTAATAAGGAATTAAGCATCAATCGAATAATAGATTAAAATACCATTTGTTCATTCTCAGAACAACAACAATAAAATCACACTTCATTGGATGGTTTACAATATTGGCCTTTAAAAACAGAGAAAGTAGAGCAGCACTTTCCTGTGAATTTTTTTTTTTTTTTAAATTATTCTTAAGATTCAAAAAAGCCAAAGGCTGCCTTTTCCTTATCTGCCTGAGTTAAAACACGCAACAGAACTTCCCTGAAAATAAACAGGTATTCACAATACGGCTGAAATCATAAAACATTAAATATTGAATCTCCAGGAGCATGAGGCCTCATAGCTGACACTCACTCAGGATATTTCAAGCAAAATCATGCATCTCAGAAAGATGAGTTTTATTCATGGCTTACTAGTGAACAGACATCACTCAGACACAAAAAATCCTTCTTCTCTGTTTCAGATGTTGATCTAAAATTAAAGTTATTTTATCTCTAGATAATTTGATTAAAAATCAAGTTAAGAAGTCATGTTTCATAGTCTCATTTTACTTTTGATTAAAATTTAACCAATGTTACAGATTTTCATGGAGTTAATTTCCAGGTGAAAATCTACATGCCCATTTACCTCCACAATCTTTTCACATTTATTATCCTCCTTCCCAGAGGACAAACTCCTAAACCATTATAGATCTCAGAATCACCTGTTTTTTTCTTTCCTTCCCCCCCCCCCAAAAAGCATTAAAATTTTACTTTGCTCTGAAAACAGTTTAATTTCATTAACCCCTGCCTGCCTCCCACTTACTTCAAGCTTTGTCAGTGCTATTCATGTGCAGACTGGAAGGTCTTGGACAAACTATTAAAATTGAAAACAATGATTTTGCAAAAACAAGCCAGGTCTTCCACCCTCAGATTCCTCAGTCTGCATTCCTGCAACGCTAATTATAAATAATGTTATTCCCTGTGTAACTCCAAGAGGACTTTACACAGTGTCAAAGGCATGCAATTCCCATATGGAGATACGCTGTTTCTGGCACGGGAATCAAGTTCGCTTGCTAAGAGCTCTGGGCAGGGGAAACTCTTCAGTTTGAAAGGAAGAAGATTTATTGGGCAGGTTGAGTTCCAGAATGAAATGGCAGCTCTTTCCAGCTGCTGTGAGTTTAACCACGCCACGAGGAAATGAATGAATGGGCAAAGAACTGCTGCTCTGACAGCCAGGACATTGCTCATGAAAACTCCACACTGGTATTTACTGAGTCACGGAGTCACAGAGATAAACACTGTCACTGTCCAGAGTGAGAGCACCAAGAGAGGAACTCATACCTGGGGCGAGAAACCGCAGTAGGAGATTGCAGAGCTTTGAACCCAGAGCCTCGTTTCAGCCTGAACACCACGGTCTAACAGGGACCAGATGGATCTCAGAGCCCACGTGCACTTCAGGCAGGCTGGCTCACCTCGTGCAGGACAGGACAGCGATCGTGTCTGCAGTTTGAACTGCACCACACTCAGCAAGGGACACTCACACAGCTGGCAAGTCCTTCAGGAACCACAAGAGGCTCTGGGGGAAAGGACTCTAAAGAGATGTTGGGACCCAGACCTGTCACCCTGTTTCTGGGTCACACAGCAGATTCCAGAATAACAGTGCTTGAGAGGAAAGCCTTCCTTCCTTCACTGTGGAAGGAATTCTCCCCCGTGAGGGTGGGGAGGCCCTGGCACAGGTCACCCTGAGAAGGTGTGGCTGCCCCATGCCTGGAAGTGTCCAAGGCCAGGTTGGACAGGCCTTGGAGGGCACAGGGGGAACTTGATGGGCTTTAAGATCCCTCCCAGCTCAAACCAGTCTGGTATTCTATGACTGCTATGGATGTGTTTTAAATGGTTGGGAAAAGGTCAAGGTGGTGCAATTCTAACTCAACAGGACAGCTGGCAAGCAGGGGGCTTGCTTTGAGGGAAGGACTGAATCTGAGACACTGCTAAGTTATGACAGTTCTAAGCACATGACTCAAAACCAGCAGGTAAATTCTTGTGAAGCATGTCAGGGAAGGCACTCACATCTGATCTGTCCTGTTAGCACAGCCCTGGCACAGTAACTGCACTAAATCCCTCATACTACAGGAACTGTATCAAACCTGCTCCCTTCCCAATGCGCTTTCCCCTCACATTCAGCTCTGAGCCTCACAAACTGAGCTGAGACACACAGGATGAGTAACTCCCCCCTGGATTTCCACCACACTTTTCTAGAGCCCTCAGAGCCAGATGGTCAATGCTGAGCTGCACTGGAGGTCAAGGGATCCCAGCTGGGGTTTAAACAACCACATAAATTCTGACACCTGCCCCCAGCAGCTCCCACTGCTGCAGGTGTCTAAATAGTCACACTGGCACCAGCCCAGACCTCAGCAAACACAAGGAACTGGGTTTGTTCCTGTCTCTGTGCAGCAGGAATAAATTGCTGAGGGAATCGTGCTCCCTCGGGGCTCTCTCTGGCTCCAGTCACACCAGCAATTAGGAGTAGAATTTGGCCCTTAATTTTGTGTCTGAAATGCCATCACAAGGTGAAAATGGCATCCTAAAGTGATTTTTCTGTTCCTCTCACAGCTGTGCCAGCTTGCAATCATAACTGGAATAAAATAATATTGCCATTAAAGAAATTACCCCAAGGTGCCAATTTAACTTACTCTTTTTTAGAGTGAAGCCCAGCTACAGGAGGAGCTATGTTTTTTTTCTTGTGCAGCCATGAACAAATGCAACTGAAACACATTTATCAGCTTCAGGTGTTGTCAATAATTGTTCATATCTCCCACAGAATATGTGCCTTTTATTTTACTATTATAATTTTCTTAATTACACCTCAGTTATGTACAGAAGCTAGAAGAAGCATTTAGTAAGCTTTTTTTCAGTTCCTATGAAGTCCTAGGGAGTCTCTAAAATGAAAATCTTTAGAAGAATAAATAAAATTTACAGCAGAATAACAACTCACATTAATCAAATGATCATTAAATCATCAAGATTCTTGCTCCCAGATTGTTCAATAAACTTGGTTTCCTGTTTTGTCTGTAACTCTTATAACACTTCAAGTATTTCCTAAACTGGCACTTTAGTCCTATCTGTCAATTCTTCTGTGTAAGAGGCTGCTCTCAATGCCAGTGTAAATGCAGAAGTCAGAAAACATGGACAGGCTTGCCTGGAAGACAAATTCTTTCCGTAATAAATATCAATCCAACACTTCTACAATTACCAAAGTTAAATCACTTTGCAATCCACTTGAATGGGCCGAGGGGGGAGAAAAGAAAAGCGCTTAAAATACCAAGTTGTCTGGGAAGCTGACCCTCCAACCACCAATCACACATTGTGAGCTCCACTTGTTAAGTGTAACAAGCGCATGCAACAGCAAAACTAACACAAACTATCATTGATAAAAAAAAAGGGAATGACACAACCATGAGAGAGATGCAGTAGAACCAAAATCTTACCGTGCAAGTGATTTTAACATTTAACTTCATTACTTCATTTGGTAGATTACCGAATTAGTATCCTATCAATTATCAACAGAAATAAGAAATCTGTTTATTAACTAAAAGGTACTGTTTTCTACAGTCAAATACATTTCATAGAATCCTAGAATGGTTTGGGTTGGAAGGGACTTTCAGGCTTCATTCCAACCCTGCCATGGCCAGGGATACATTCCACTAGCCCAGGTTGCTCCAATCCCTGTCCAGCCTGGCCTTGGACACTTCCAGGGATGGGGCAGCCACAGCTTCTCTGGGCAACCTGTGCCAGGGCCTCCCCACCCTCGCAGGGGAGAATTTTTTCCCAATATTTAACCTAAATTTCCCCTTTCAGTGTGAGCACACTGTGAACTGATGACCCCATTAAAATGTGCCCCATTTGAAAAGGAACACAGGAAGGATTGTCAAGAGAACGTGCTGTTACATAGATTACTCTCTGTTTTCAGATGGAACTGAAACATGGAAACACAAAAAGGTAAACTGTATCTGAATACATATAACACATAACTACTGTACCTGCATTCTCTGGACTCGGATATCAGCGGCAGAGAAGCACACATTCTGTTTTTGTTTGCCCATTCCACACCCTTGTCACAGCATTCTTCCACTGACAGCTCTGTAGAAAGAAAACCACAACAGTCTATTTATTAAAACTTTGCATCTGCCTGTTAACCCTCTCCTAAGCAAGAACAGGGCAGCCAGACCCAAGGCAGCCACGGCCAAACCAAGCTCCTGGCAGCACCTTGCAATAAGCCCAATTACTACAAAATGTGGCAGCAGCAATATGCAACCTTTTAAAATCCTGAAGAATGCAGGATAAATCAGTGATATTAGAGACAGCTGAATCTCATTACAAGTAAATCTGTGAAACTAGTTTTTCCTGAGGTTATTCTCCAAGTAATCTGTTTTATGCAAAAATATGCCTGTAAATGCCAAAGTATTGTAGAGAGGGACAAAAAGTATATGGTATTTTGATCACTTAACATATGACAGAAAAATTAATCCAGATACCAACTTACACCAAACCTGAACCTAAGAGGAAAAGCACATTGAAGACAATTATTTCTGTAGAGTGTATTTTTGCAAGTCTTTAATTTAATAAAACTGAATACTGTTAATGAACTGACAAGCACTACAGGTTTGCTTCATATTCCAAGTGCAAAAGTTCACTGCACAGCAGGTGTATCAGAACTTGGAATAAAACAGGAGTCACATTTTCCTATTAATTATCTTGTAGTCTGAGCACCAAACAGCTCCTTGTGTAACAAATACACAATGTGTGTAAAAAACCCCTGTGATTATCCAAAGGGACAGCTTTCTAATGGTTTCTCTGTGTTTCATAAGTTTTCTGGCTGAGGGCCCTGCCAGGCTGCTCCCAGGAGTGCTGAGGGATGACACTGCCAGGCCTGATTACCTGAGAGCTCACGGGGAACCAGAGAAGTTCCTCGAGAACGGGAGAGAACAAAGGCCTCCCTGACTTCAAGGACAAGAGAGAAGATCTGGGAAACTACAGACTGGGCAACCTCTTACAGAATCATTCGGGTTGGAACAGCCCTCCCAGCCCATGAATTTGCTCAACTGGCAGATGTTCAGATGTGGGGAAGGAAAAAGCAGCTGAAAGCAAGTAGAGAAGATAACTCAGGGTTTTTTTTGCAGGGAACAACTTGTGTTCCCAACTAGTGATTACAATCCTAGGATTCAAAGCACAAAGGAAAAAGTTAAATGAGATTTTAAGATGCATCAGTCATCTTGAGGTAGGTACTCTTTTGTACAGTCAATTGTACGGTGTAAAGCTCTTGGGTCCTGCACAGAATTCTGGCTTTAAGAAAGATTACATCAAAATGGAAAATGAGTAAAGAAAGATTAGGAGGAGGGCCAGGGGAATCAAAGCCCTGTTGTATGAGGAGAAACTGGGAGAAACAGCCCAACCTGTGAAAGGATGTGGGTCCTGTCAACAAATATTACAGCAGTAAACAATCCAGATCATGGGATCCAGAAAAACAAACATTTTAGTAAGAAAATAATGAAATGGAATTACATTAAGTGTTAGTTTATAAGAGAGTTCTGTACTCTGTGACCCAGGTCACCCTTCTACTCTTACTTAAATATCCAAAGTAAGAGTCAAAATTCTGTCATTACTAAGTCAAAGCAGTATTTCTCCTGAATCCCTCCGTGTGTCCAGAATCCATGCCAGTGTCTGAAAGCGAAATGCAGTTTACAATGCTACAGAGAAAATCAGTCTAGTAAATAACCATCTGCCTGTGGTGAAAGCCATGCATTTGTGTCTGAGCTCTTCTCTGGGAATAGGGACCCTGTCTGGGGCTCTCTGGCTGACAAACATCATATGCATCACATTTCATACAATGGGTTGCAAATAACCATGTTTTTAGTGCTGCTGTCTGCAATCAATCTTAACTGTGTTGAAAAATGATACACATTTAACTCAAGTGCAGAGCTGGCTGCAGGATTTTGAAGGGCTTTGTAAAAAATGGTCTTTGGCCAAGTTCCTCCCCAGAAGGACAATCCCTGGCTCTGGACACCAGTTCTTCTCTCCAAGCTCTGGCAACACACCTCCACTCCAACGAAATAACTCAAGAATTCAAAGCAGGCCAAGCTAAGCAAGTTTGTCTGTAAGAGTCCATCCAGACAAAGGAGGATCACAGAGAGTTAGCTGAAGGAGAACTGTGGTCCAGGCTCATTGTTTTGGTGACATCACAATTCATATCCTCCAAAGGTCCTGCCAAAAATCTCCTGAGAATAGAGTGAAGTGAAAAACAAGCAGTAAAAAAGGACTCCACCCTCAAGTCTATTCTTCTATAACATAGCAATTAAACAGCGAAAAACATTTTCTCTTGGCTTTGCAGTTGCTCTAAAAATTGTAATTTGTGGGCAAATCCCTACCCTTTCCATTCTCAGAAAGTGTGTGAACCAGAAGTGATTCTGACCATCTGGGCATTCAGGGTTGTTAATGAGTATTTAGGAACAGGCCCCTTATCCTCCCCTAGCTGTATTTTTCCAGCATAGTGGACTCAACTGCACACACATGCATATTCATGTTGTTCCCAGCTGGAAACCTTTGGGCAAGCAGTTCATTCTGAGGCCACCTGTGCCTCCTGACACCCTCTTCAGGGAACCAACAGCACAGGGGGCTACAGACTGCTCCTTCAGGGTGTGCAGGGGATGGCGCAGTGGGAGGCAGATGGCAGAACTGCTCTGATTACAACATCTCGAAGAATCTCACTTTCTGAGCAGAAAAGAATGGCTGTTTTTGCTCTGGCTGTGACCCTGTGTCTCAGAGCAGCTGATGGCTCGTGGCACCCCTCACAGCTGGAGCAGGCATGGCCAGTCTGCTCTTCTGAACCTGGTGCTCCTTCAAGGATTCTGCCAACTGCACAATGTGTCATGCAAATCAGCCAGAGAACTCCCAGGCACCCGAGGGAGAACGCCCTTCTGGGAAAGGCTGGTGACACTGTCTATGCTCAGCTGCAATGTGCCCTTTTATTCAGAAGGGGAAGTTGTGACATTCAGGAATACGCTGGCTGGTCCATTTTGTAAATTTGAGAAGCACTTGTTCAGCTTTCTGGTTTCACAAGACAGAAAAACATACTAACCCAGAGCTCTGGTTAGATGGCAGCACGGTGACTTCCTTTTCTAGATACACTTATTTTGCATGCTAAAGGACTAGTTGAGAAAACCCGAGTTTATTTTGGATAAAATCCAACACAGCTTTATCACCACTTTGTCCCTTTACCAAAGCATGAGCAGCAGGGCATCCAAAAGAACTCGAGCTGTGTTGTGCAGTGACAGCGAGGACGCCTGTCCTGATGGGAATGTGGAAGTGTGTGTTGGATTCCCAGGGAGATTTCCAGAGTCTCGGGAAGAGGACAGCAGAAACACAGCTGGAACTCAGCTCTCTAATTTTACAAAAGCTGTCACGAAGAAAAGCTACCAGATAAGACACGATTAAGGCCACAATTGTTCAAACATTTTGTGTGCATGATGCATCCCATGGGCTGGCTCTGAACTATGCACACAGGCACGATGTGTACGAGCATATGGTTGCTTTAAAAAAAGGTAGATTGCTAATCTTAACAGGATTGCCATGCTGTGTGGGAGTTCAAAGCAAGAAATGTGGTTAATATCTGCATAACCTTAGACTTCTATGATGTAATAATTGCTTATTCAGCTGCTGCAGTGAATATTTTCTGCAAAAGGAAGATAAGCTTAAGAATGTTACCCAAAAGCATGATTCCTGGAACGAGAAACCCTGAATTGCTTCTGGGAATTGTGCAAAAAATAAGCAGAAGTAAAAAGGACTGGATAAACTTCATGGCAATAGCATTCCAGGTAGATGAAAAAGGGACAGATTTTTTAGGTAACAATCTACAGTAGCAGCTATTCTGTACAGTTGCCTCTGATGGAAAGGTCTATGCACAGTCCAGGATTGGATAGCTGTTCATTACTCAGTGCTGATCCATGGAACAGTTATCCATCTGAAGCTGGTACCAAACCAGAGCTACACCTGGGCCTAGATGGGCTTTCCAAGGTAGTGCCAGCAAAGTTTGCCATTTCTTCAGGGCAGTCACTGATGTGACCCTCACACCCATCAGCTTCCCAGCCCCCATAACCAGCTGTGGTTGGGTACGGGTTTGAAACTGAGTCCAGGTCAAGGGGTCAAAGTCCCACCTCCTTATTAAGGTGTTTCAGTCTTTCAAGCGCATTAATCGATGAAGTTTGTAGGATGTGGTTCAGAGCTTGTCCTTCGCTCAGTTCCCTCTGTCAGAGGCTCAGCACAGTGGAATGTGAGGAAACAGAACGTGATTCTCACTCCTCAGCATACGAGGATCCAGGCAGCAGATGGACCCTGTGAGAGCTCAGCACTACTCCAGCACATTTCACTAACAGTAGGTCAGCCAGAAATTTTGGAACTCGTGATTACAACACACATGTATTGGTTTAGGTTTCCAGTAAGAAAATCGCTTGCAACATTCCCTGTGTACCTTTTTGATAACACCTTTCCTGTCCTGTCATGAAAACTCTCTCACTAGTGATGCTCATCCATCTAACTGCCAGATGAAAAAAGCCTAAGCCTACTTATAGGATTTGTCAAAATGACAAACTGGCCATCCATAATATTCCCAGTCACATTCTTTGTCTTCCAGCCTCCCTTTACATCTGTACTCTCACAAAACCACAGCAACTGCACATCCCTTTGGCCAAGGCTCCACTTTGCTTGAGGTTCAGGGCAAAGTCATCTTGGCCTGATCTGCTGCACCAAATCAATCATTTCTTGAACAATGACACCTGGACAAGCCAGCAGCTTTTGTAGCAGGCACAGCAGTCAAGTGCTGGCAGCTGGGATTTGTAGTCTTGATTTTCTGGCTGTTCTTACAACAAGCCGTGGAAATGCTGTCTCTGGCAATGCAAACACACTCTGGCTGGCCACTTAAGGCATCACATAGACCCAGAGACATGTTTAGACAAGAGGAAAGCCAGCTGACTTCAAAGATCCAACTGCTAATAGACTGATATGATAAATCCAGCTTTGCTGCATCTTGATCTTGTGTGTAAACCCAGGGATTAGGCACATAGAGTAAGGAAAAGGGGGAAGGAGAC